AACAGAGTTGGGAAGCAGGACTGATACTGATAGTACAGCAAAACCCCAAACTAATGAGGTTACATAACAGTAATCTGATATAAATGACTATGACACTAACTAGCTACAGAGTTGTGAAGCAGGACTGATACTGATAGTACAGCAAAACCCCAAACTAATGAGGTTACATAATAGTAATCTGATATAAATGACTATGACACTAACTAGCTACGGAGTTGGGAAGCAGGACTGATACTGATAGCACAGTAAAACCCCAAACTAATGAGGTTACATAATAGTAATCTGATATAAATGACTATGACACTAACTAGCTACGGAGTTGGGAAGCAGGACTGATACTGATAGCACAGCAAAACCCCAAACTAATGAGGTTACATAATAGTAAATGACAATTGAATTGTACAATGTTTACTAAGAAAATTGAAACATTACTTAAAATACAATCATGCTAAATGAAATAAAAATAACATTAGCTTACTACACATACTATGAAACAACGATGGGAAACTTGAACAAAAAGTAACGTAATCCAACTGATGATGAAATCCCATAATATAGGGAACCATTATGTAGTCTACATTAACTATACTAAAAGCTAAAATTAGTGGGAGATAATCATACTACAGTGGTTTATTTTGACCATAGAGAACTTTTAAGAAGCTATAGTTTAGACATGAAAGTTCAGAAAAGGTTGTGATATTCAGTAAACTGTAGCAAGATTACAGTTGAATCTGGTGAACATAATCTATTTATGAACATTATCTATTTACATAAACTATTTAATATCAACTAGTTCGAGGTCAGCTGGGAATTTTACACTTGGGTAGCCAGCTCAGATGGCAACCATATAACACGAGCACATTTGGTGACAAGGATTCAAACGTGTGTCCCTCAGATTGCAAGTCGAGTGCCCTATCCACCAGGCCATGCTAGGCCTCTGGTGACACATAAACCATATTGTATATAACAAGCTGCGAGTAGTAATAATTGTAACTTATTTGGAATATTTATTTTGGAAAAAGAAAGTTTGCATCTTCAAAATTAAAATAATGTTTAATATCAGCAGTATTAATCAAAATATATCAGCAGTATTAATCAAATATTAAACATAATTTTAATCTATATAATAAATCAAAATTATGTTTAATATTTGATTAATACTGCTGATATATATAAATCAAAATTATCTTTAATATTTGATTAATACTGCTGATATACATATCCAGGGAATGAAGTTTGTTTGCAGTGATTTAATTTTTTTGCAGAGTGAGTTCTGGCTGATATATCTGGTTGTATTAAGGAATCGTCTTTATAATTGGTTGTATTAAGGAATCGTCTTTATAATTGGTTGTATTAAGGAATTGTCTTTATAATTGGTTGTATTAAGGAATCGTCTTTATATTTGGTTGTATTAAGGAATCGTCTTTATAATTGGTTGTATTAAGGAATCTTTATATTTGGTTGTATTATGGAATCATCTTTATAATTGGTTGTATTAAGGAATCGTCTTTATAATTGGTTGTATTAAGGAATCGTCTTTATAATTGGTTGTATTAAGGAATCGTCTTCATAATTGGTTGTATTAAGGAATCTTTATATTTGGTTGTATTAAGGAATCTTTATAATTAGGTACAAAAATATCGTTAGTGGAAAGTTTTATCACAGTCTTTCTTACTAGGATTTATTATGCATGAAAATTCAACTTATTAGATATGACACTTACCTCAACATTATCAGGTGAAAAACTGAATGGATGAAGGAGACGTTTTCTGTTTTTATGGCGTGGAACTGACATTTTTTGTTTTCGATTCTTTGTTTTCCTAATATTTGCATACAACAAAAAAAACAAAAATACAGTCGAGTCACTTTAACAAAGCACATAGTAACTGTGAGTTAACATTACTTTTTCTATGAATATAAACATCAGTATGACAACTTTATGTACAGTTTGTATATATATATCAGGTATCCAACAGTACACGTTCATCATTACACAAGACACACAATATTGCATCATCACCTTGACACATTTTTTAACTGGTTGCCACTCGTATATTAGAAAATTATCAACACACTAAAATGTTTACGATTATTAATATTATTGTGTTGGTCAGTCAGACATTTGTGGTGTCTATAAATGGTTCAATTTTGAAAAAAAAAAGGGAATCGTGTATGGTATGAAGAAAGATTTCACATTTCTGTCTTTCCTGTATGAATTCCTGCAGTTTGTTTTGGATAAAAACATTAAGATGTTATAAATTCAATTCTTAAACCTCCACTAAATTTGACTACTTAGTTGTTGAACAACATTTCTTGAGGAAAGCACTTGCATAGATAAAAAATAAATTTGTCCCGCACTGCCACTATATTTTCTACGCTGCCAAAATGTTAATTCATTGATGAAATACTAATATTTGCATCAGGTATTCCTCCATATGATTTAAAGGATGATAGTAATAAGTGTTAACTTGTGAAAATGGTATCATGATAAACTCTCTCTGTTTAAAGAAAAGTGAACAACTGCAAGTACCAACTACTCTTGGAATTTTTACCAGTTTTAGAGATAGAGATGATGATGTCACAATCCTCATCAGGCATTAGTTAACTGGTTAACTCCAATAAAACACTTTGGTATACTTTGCATGCAATGAACTATGTGTTATTTAAATGGTGGTTATTACCCTTGTTCCAACAAAACAAGCCTATCTTGGAACTATGTGACAATTAGCTGTGGTCATTTTTCTTCTTCATTAAATTTCCAAAGAACACTAATTTCTTTGTACTTCTTCTAGAAACGAAAAAAACAACAACAAACATTGGTCAAAGAGTTATTTTTTGTAAATATGAATGGACAGAAAGACTAACTCATCAGATTTTACATTCTAGAAATGCTTGTGCAGTGTTAACTTACTGCGAAACTTCAGCACATTCCTGACCACAGAACTTTCCGTTTTTGTAGAAGTTGTTCCGTAATCCATAGCAGCCACAATTCTCACATTTGTACATATCCTTGAGACATCCCCCAACAACTGACGTTTGATTGGTTTGATTATCTGTAACAAGTTTAGGCACAGTACAGTTTTGCTAGTTAAAAACACACTGCTCAAAGTTACCAAGTTTTAGCTATGACAACACACAATTACTATTATTAAATAATGTCAATGGTGCCCTTTAGTTAATTTTTATGCAAAACTAGTGTTAGGTGATCTGTCAAGTGATTATACACATATACTTAGTTGTACAGAAAAGTACAGCATATACAAAGGTCATAGCTGATAATGAAACATATCTATATTACCATGAGGATACTTGGACTTTTCTATGATGTAGAGGTCAATAGGTCAACTACAAGTTAGTCAAACATAGTTGTATACAAGAGTGAAGGAAATGCAGTGTGTAAGGATATCGTGACTAACTGTGAAACACACCTAGGTTCCAAGGACGACATTTGGATGTTTCTATGACATAGAGGTCAAAAGGTCAGCTACAAGTTAGTCAAACATAGTTGTATACAAGAGTGAAGGAAATGCAGTGTGTAAGGAGATTGTAACTAATTGTGAAACACACCTAGGTCCCAACATTTGGATGTTTCTATGACATAGAAGGTCAAGAGGTCAGCTACATGTTGTAAAGAGATTGTGTCTGGCAGTGAAACATATCAAAGTCCCCACAAAAACATTTGGATGTTTCTATGATGTGAAGGTCAAGAGGTCAGCTACATGTTGTAAAGAGATTGTGTCTGGCAGTGAAACATATCAAAGTCCCCACAAAAACATTTGGATGTTTCTATGATGTGAAGGTCAAGAGGTCAGCTACAAGTTGGTCAAACACATGTCATTGCAGATATATGTCTCATAAAATGTGCTTAGCAGGATGTGGACTCTCTTTCAGACTTAATAGTGGTTTATATTAGTAAAAAGGTAAATCAAAAGTAATAATTGAAGGGTCAGTCAACAATATGTGAACAATGAGTGCTAGCTAAAGGAATACATTGGTAACTCACTGAGACTACCCTAAAATTTATGATGTGAGGTTAACATTTTTCTAAGATTTCACGAACTTCCTGAAAGGTCTCAGTGTACCACATCTTCAACAACCCTGTAAGACGACTGCTGTTTGACAATCTGTGGTTGTGGGAACCAGTAATTGGATGACAAATCAGTATGTAAACAGTGACATATTTCATAATGGTTGGCCTTCATGCCAGATAACCAATGACATAATTCCTCTGTTTCATTTCCATAAAACAGTACATAGTCAGTAGTGTGAAGAACGTGTGGATTGGTCAAATGTGCTGCTCACAAGTGAATCATGTTTCACATAGCAGCCAGATTAAAGACATGTAAACATTTAGAAACCAGCTGTGAAACGGATCCAATACAGCATACTGTTCATGCAGAGATGAGAGTCTTTACGTGCTAAGACAGGCCATTACGAATGTCATAAGATAGTGCTGCCACATGCATACGGCATTGGTCTGAACTTTCTTCTGGGGAATAATAACAATCCTACTGAAAGAAGAGAGCATCATGTGAATGGTCTAGTCAACATGCTCGATAGACTTGAACACACGTGAGACGACATGCAATGTTTATGGGCTTGAAACAACTCTGATGGAGGGAGGGTGAGCCAGCATGATTCATGTAATGTTTATGGGCTGGAAACAACTCTCATGGAGGGAGGGTGAGCCAGCATGATTCATGTAATGTTTATGGGCTTGAAACAACTCTGATGGAGGGAGGGTGAGCCAGCATGATTCATGTAATGTTTATGGGCTGGAAACAACTCTGATGGAGGGAGGGTGAGCCAGCATGATTCATGTAATGTTTATGGGCTTGAAACAACTCTGATGGAGGGAAGGTGAGCCAGCATGATTCATGTAATGTTTATGGGCTGGAAACAACTCTGATGGAGGGAGGGTGAGCTAGCATGATTCATGTAATGTTTATGGGCTTGAAACAACTCTGAAGGAGGGAGGGTTATTGATTTGTTAATTTTGAACTTGCCTCATTAACGTTGGATTTGCTTTACTGTTTGAAGTGGTGATACAACTTATTAACAACCATTTTCTAATACTCCTTGACTTGAAAAAGTCTAAGATATCAAATAAGCATTTGTTGACACAACTCCAGCAGCAGACATTTGCATATTAAATCAAATGACACTAAGTTTGCATGAAAATAAACTTGGAAATACCATTAACATCAGTTGTGCCTTGTGTAGAATATCTAATTATGATTATCCTCAGTTTACATTCACAACTAAAACAAAACTTTTTAGCATTTCTTCTAATTTAGAAAATATTATGTATAAGAAAAAAAAGGAAAAATTAAGTATAATTTTTGTTGCAAACCAAACTTGGATTAATATTTGAGAAGAAATCAGTAATTCTTGTGAACAAAACTCAACACACACTACAAGGAACAAAATTAAACAAAAC